TTTAATTCCCGGTAAAAAATTTATCATGCATGAATATGTATAAACATACATAAACATATATAAATATTCATAAACATACATAATTTTATATGAAATATATCCCGAATGATCATATATATCCTTTTTTTTTTGTAAAATTACTTTTTTAGTATAATGGAAATAATAATATTAATGTGAAAATAATAAAAAGGGTAATTTTCATACTATTTGGTTTTCGAAAAAAATCAAGTTTGAAGAAATGTAAAAAAATTATTTATATATAAATAATTATATATAAAATTATACACAATTACGTATGAGCATTTTTTTCCCAAACTAACATCCTAATATTTTTTTCTAAACCGTACGTATGTGAAAATTATCTCTTTAATTATTTTTTATGCTTTTACATTACTATTATTATTTTGATTACACTAAAAAATAATTTAAAAAAAAAAAAGAGTAAGGATATGATGCTGTAAGGATGAATATGCTTCATGTATGATTATACGTGTTTATGAATATTTATGTACGTTTATCTATCTATATATATTCATGCATGAAAAATTTTTTATCGGAACAGTTCTCCTTATTGTATTCTACGTCTTACTAACATAATTATTACATTATTGCATTATGCAGACAAAATTATTGTATACGGCCTCGCCTAATTGTCACGTGAGAATTCCGCAATTTTAAATATTCTAATTTTAACTGCTGTAATGTGTTAAAAGTTGCAATTTCTTTAGCTCTAAAAAATTCTTAATAACAAAGATCTAATTATTTTATTCGACAAGTCAAAAAAGTATAAAAAGCAAATAGCCGATTGAATCATTATACATACATATAATAAAAGAATTAAATGATTTTAAAAAATTAATATTTTATCAATATTAATTCGTGATGTTTATAACGTATAAATGTTAGACATTTCAAAATGGAATTCGATTTAAGACGCGATATTCTTCGAATTTAAATTAGTGGCAAATAATATATGTTTTCTTGCTTGATGGCTTACATTTTAGTAAATTATTAGAAATTATGTTATGTGGTGCAATTTTAGTAATTTACTAGAACGGAAACAATCTAGCAAGAATATATCGCGTGCCACTAACTGTATTCATCAGCTGATACAAAATATTTCGCTTCCTCTTCCGGAAATAGAATTCGATCGTGGCGTGAAAACGAGTTTAAATGATTTGAATTTAAGCAAAAAAGTTTATTATGAAAGAAATATATACAATCGCATCATTAATTAGAAAATTATTACGTTAATCTTAATAAAAGGTCACAGACTAATGTACATCACTTAAATAAGCAAGACTTTTGGAAAAAAAAAAAAAAACTCTAATTGCATTCAGAAGTCGGTACCTTTTTTGTAGGAAAATAATTGAAACATAAAATTCACTTTCCATAAAAGTTATGCAATGTAATCACTTTATTCCTTTGCAGCCTGAACTGATTGAAGCTCATGGTTACGTAGCCGAAACTCATCAGATTTGCACAGAAGATAATTATTATTTAACCGTGCATCGTGTACTTCCTAATGATCGAGTACCATCAGTGTCAAACGCTGACATCATAAATATCGATGCAACTGTTATGAATAGTGAAGATCATAATTTGTCAATTTCTGCTGAGAATTATCAACTCTTAAAAACTTCCGGATATTATATCAGTTCCTCTAGATTGCCAGTTATAATAAATCATGGAATTGTATCTAGTTCTGCGGATTGGGTACTTCTAGGACCACACAAAGCCCTTGGTTAGTATCTATTAATAAATAAGTATATTTTTGTATTTTCTTAATTTTTAAATTTATTTTTGCATTTTTGTTATTTATTTTAGTCATCTGATACTCTAATAATGAATTATTCATTAATATTCAAATAATTATTCATCATCAGAATATGATAAATATCCTAGAATTTATTAATGCATTATATAACTTTTCATATTGCAGCATATGTTCTTTGTGACAATGGATACGACGTTTGGCTCGCAAACGCTCGTGGAAACACTTACTCCAAATCTCATAAATATTATTCAATCAAAGATAGAAACTTTTGGGATTTTAGGTAATCGAGCGATTTAAAATATAATAAACAGATAAAGTAATAAAAATATAAAAAAGAAATAATAGCATTGTACCTGAAAATGATAAATATTTCTGTTACAGTTGGCATGAGATTGGATATTATGATTTACCAGCAACAATAGATTATATCTTAGAAAAAACTGGTCATTCCAAATTGTATTATATCGGTTACAGTCAGGGTGCAACCACATTCTATGTTATGGGAAGCGAAAGACCTGAATATAATGCTAAGATCAAAGGAATGATAAGTTTAGCACCTGCAGTATTTTTAGGAAATCAAAAAAGTTCATTTTTGAAACTTTTTGCCTATTTTCATAATATATTAGATGTAATGCAATGTTTTGTTATATTTTCTGATTTTTTTCACAAAATTATGCTATATTATGTCACAAATGTGTTTCAGTGGGGATCTTATATTTGCAACATAAATCAATGGTTACCTTCTAATAAATGGCAAAGTTTTATATTGAGGACCTTTTTAAGCAACGCGCCTCACCCGATGACAAAGGGTTTTTGTAATTTCTGCTTTTATCTTATCGCTGGATTCGGTAGCGAACAACTCGATAAATCCATGTTACCTTTAATATTTGGACATTCCCCAGCAGGTTCTTCGGTTAAACAATTTCTTCACTTTGGCCAGTTAATATGCTCCGGTAAATAATTGTTATCTCTGTATAAAAGATCCTGCATTCACGTGTTACATAGGAAATAATGATTAAATTAGGTTCCGGAAAAAATATCAAACATAAAGTTCAATAATGGATCATTTTTGAGTTGCAGGTGTATTAAAGGTACTCTAATGAATTTTATATTCTGATATATTTTTGTATTTTGATAGAAAAATCATCCATTATTGAGCCTTCTGTCTATAACATATTTTTTTCATTACATTATAAAGTAACATACTTATTGTGAAGTTAATATTTGAAGCTCATATTTCATTGAGATCCAATTTTTCATATAATGAGCAGGATTCTGTATCACATTATTCTTAAAATTTATAATTGAAAGCGAGTTCTAAATTTACTCAAAGAGTTCTAAACCTAGCAAACAAGAATGGATTAAAATGGATTGAAATTTTTTTCTATCCGAATGCGTATTTTAAATAGCGAATACTTTTTTTGGATTTAATTGGATTCAATTGGATTCAATTGGATGCAATTCGATTGAAAAACTGCTTTTTCTATTCAAAATTTTGAATTGAACAATATTCACAATGCATAGAAAAAGTTAATATTATTTTTAGATTGAAAGGCATAGAGATATGCTCTATGCAATTCCTATAAATGAGTAAAAATGCATTCAGGATTAAAAAACATTCATTTCAACATTCATGAATCAATATTTTTGAAAATCTGAATCCATTTCAATTCATTTCAATCCATTCTCGTTTGCTGGGAAATTCTTTGTCTTAAAAAAAGATGTGTGATTAAAAATGATTAAATATAAAACACACGCACACACACACATACATACACACACACGTATAGATTTTTTATCTATCTCTTTCAGTTTAGAAAATAAAAAAATAAAATAATTATTTAATGCTGAGACGTTTTATATATAATTGTTTTATCTATAATTGTTATTTTCCAGGATCTTTTCATAAATTTGATTATGGCATTAAAACAAACTTATCTCTCTATGGATCTACACAACCACCTAAATATATTCTTGAAAGAATAAAAGTACCTGTGGCGATCTTTTATAGTGAAAATGATTTTATTAATCATCATATTGTAAGTTCAAGATGTTTATTTATGCTGTATTGCTGTATAGTATATAATATATATACATATATATATA